GAACCCTTAGAATATTGATCAAGTCATCAATCCCGGGTATTGAAAATAATCAATCTCTGTATTGGTTTTTTTCAATTTCAATCCCGGTTGATCCCAATTCTTGATATTGATTTTTTTTTCAATATCGGATCCTCAGGGCACTCACTCACTCACTCGCTCGCTCGCGCGCTCACTCGCTCACTCTCTTACTCTCTCTCTCTCTCTCTCTCTCTCACTCACTCACTCACTCACTCACTCACTCACTCACTCACTCACTCACTCACTCACTCACTCACTCACTCACTCACTCACTCACTCACTCACTCTTGCTCGCTCTCTCATTGCCGCACTCGCTCACGCAATCACTCACTCGCACACTCTCGCTCGCTCTCTCACTCACTCTCGCTCGCTCTCTCAATGTTTCTCTATCTCTCTCTCTCTCTCTCTCTCTCCCTCACTCACTCTCGCTCGCTCTACCAGTGTAGCAAAACCATACTGAAACAAAGGAATTTCATACTGGAGGGCCCGCCCTTTTGCCTTCAGTATGACAGACATTCATTTTTAGTATGAAATTGCAAGCACCCCGACCAAGCTGCCAGCATTTCGACCGATCGGGGTGGCACATGTCACATCAATCACATGCAATCGAGCACCTGAAGAAACTGAATTACGAAACATTTTGAGACACATCTGGTCCAAACCGAATGCAGCTGAGTGTGGCACACGTCACTGTAGCTGAGTCTTGCACATGTCGCAAATGCGAAGCGTTGGCCGCTCGCACGCAGAGGCGAAGGTCAAGTTGACTTCCAGAAGCCCGGACTCGACGGGTTTTCTCTGCAACCTGGATGTCCACTCTGATCCGGCCTTCGACCTGATCTGCAATCAGGGTCTTCCCCTGCATCCAAGCGCCCAGAAACCAAAAACGCAATCATCGCTTTCCCGAGATGCTGTCTGCAACAAAAGATGGGAAACAAGCCGAAACCCTTCCCGCTCCTGGACGTTGAAGCGCACAAGCGCTCAACGTCCCTCGGGCCCCAAGCGCACAAGCGCTGAAGCACGAGCGGAGCGAAAAGAGTCTCAGCGTTTCTTACGAAACGATTTGAAACACATTTCGACCAAACCGAATGCAGCTGAGTGTGGCACATGCGGCATCAATCACCTGCAATCGAACACCTGAGGAAGCTCGAATTACGAAACATGTTGAAACACATCTGGTCCAAACCGAATGCAGCACCGTGCTGAAAGAGCACGCATCCGCTCGGGGGAGCGGTAAAGCACCCACCGTGCTGAAAGAGCACACATCCGCTGAGGGAGCGATTAAAACACCCGGAATGCAGGGGAGGCCTTGAATCATTGAAGGGTCATGCAGGCTTAGGGCACACCTTGCCTTGCCAAGACAGACTGCCCTAACATGGAAACAGGAATGGAACTGCCAGAGTACCAAATTCAAGCTGGTTTGTCTGTCAGAAATGGCGACGATGGTGGTGGTGATGGTGCTGGTGATGGTGCTGGTGATGGTGCTGGTGATGGTGATGGTGATGGTGATGGTGATGGTGATGGTGATGATGATGATGATGATGATGATGATGAAGGAGATGCATTGTTGCTGATGGCATCATTTGAGCTGCTTTGTCTAGAAGAAATAAAAACCTAGGCCGGATAGATGCCTGCGCCTTTGCCCTGCCCATGCACTCCCTATCAGTGTTCTCAGCTCAATGTTCAGTACTTGGGCCCGAACAAGAAGACACAGTGGCAGACAAGTCAGGTTGGCAATCCCCCCCTCAGATAATGACCCCAACTAGCTAAGAGTTTCATATGAATTGCTGGCATCATTTGACACAACATGTTGCAAAGCAACATCGCACCATTCAATTCAACATGAACCCACAACATCAACCACATGTACCTTGAAAACCCCATTTACATTTGAATTACCCAAATACCTTGCCAGTGGCTTACTGGCCCGCTGTCAGACCACTCCAGGCTCCCGAACCAAACGGCTTCCATTCCATTTAAAAAACTGAGCCTTTTGCGTCCTCTTGAAATTGATTCACTTTTCCAAATGCTCGGCGCCTGATCAAGTCTGTGTGTGTGTGCGGAGTGGCAGAATACCCTGCCACCACATTTCAGCGCAGGGGGCACGGCAGCTCATTCTTTAGCCGTGCCAACGAAGCTGTGAGAATGAGCCGGAAGGGAGTTTGGACGCAAACTCCTGTACCTGCAAGTGATTCTGAAAGTCCTTTTGGCCCCCTTGGTTGCGGCGCTGTTTGTGCTTCTTGTTCTTTCGGGTAACGTGTTCGCTGCTAGAGGGAAGCCGAGTGCATCGCGAGCAGAACCCAGTCGAGACTCATCAGTTGTACTCGAGACTCATCAGTTGTACTCGAAAGCTTTGTCGGAAAATTTGACCTCAACGTGCTTATCATAGAACAGCGGAATTTCAGATTTAATCAGGAACGAGGTTTCACTAAAAGGAAGACAGCCGTCAGATCATAGCTACGTCTCACCCTACGTTCTTTCTTCTCGCCTTCTTCTTCCGCGTGCCTGTCTTCTGGTTCTTCGCCCGCCTAGGGATGGCTTCTCCTTCCTCCCGTTCTTTTTGCTGCCTTTCGTGACCCGCGCGTTCGTCCCCTTTCTGTTCGCCCGCTTAGGGATGGCCTGGTTGTCCTCGCGTTGTTCACCTTTTTCCTCGTCTTCCTCTTCGTGTCTGTCTTCCTGTTCATACTCCTCTTCTTCCTCACGTAGTTTGGCTTGACGTCTTCTTCCCCTTCCGTTGCTACTTCGTGTCCGTCCTCTTGGCCCCTGTGTGGGATTCGACGTCTTCCTCCGCGAGCCTTGGTCTTCATCCTCTGTTCTTGTCTGGGCGGGATGCGTCGCCCTAAAAACGCATACTACTTCCCTCTTCCTCTTCCTTCTTCCTTCTTCCTTCTTTTCTCCTTTTTGTCTCCTTGCCTTCTGCTTCTTGTTCCTTCTTCCCGGGCGGGATGCGGCGCCCTAAATACGCACCCTGCTCCTTTCTTTTTCCCCCCGGGCGGTTGCGACGCCCTAAATACGCTTTTTCTCTCCCTCTCTCTCTCTTTCTGTCTCTCTCTCTCTCTCTCTCTTTCTTTCTCTCTTTCGTCCCTTTCCTTTCTTTCGTTTCTTTTTCTTTCCCTCTCTGGGCTATCTCTTGTACTTCCTGTTCGCCCGGTTAGGGATGGCCTGTTCCTCTTCTGCCTCTTTGCCTTCGCGGCCCCTTTCGTCTACAAGGTCTAGGTCGTTTTTGCGCTGTTTGGGGTTGTTGCCCTCGGAGACCCGAAACCTGGCTTCCCCGTTGTTCTTGTTTCTTGTTTGGGGTTTTGCCCGCGGTGACCCAACCTGGGGCCTTTCTGTTTCTTTTGGGCTCCCTTGCTCCGTTTGTTTTCTGTTGGGGTCTTCGCCCGGCTTTGGGGCGCGTGTTTTTTCTCCCCCCGAAAAAGTGGTACTCGCCCCCCTCTTTGAGGGGCGTGTGTGTGCGGAGTGGCAGAATACCCTGCCACCACATTTCAGCGCAGGGGGCACGGCAGCTCATTCTCTAGCCGTGCCAACGCAGCTGTGAGAATGAGCCGGAAGGGAGTTTGGACGCAAACTCCTGTACCTGCAAGTGATTCTGAAAGTCCTTTTGGCCCCCTTGGTTGCGGCGCTGTTTGTGCTTCTTGTTCTTTCGGGTAACGTGTTCGCTGCTAGAGGGAAGCCGAGTGCATCGCGAGCAGAACCCAGTCGAGACTCATCAGTTGTACTCGAGACTCATCAGTTGTACTCGAAAGATTAGCACTCTCCATCTGGAGTTTAAGTGTGTACCTGGACCCTCAAACTACCAAGTAAAAAAATGAAACAGCGTTCAGGTTGGTATACTCCAATCATGGGGCCTGGGGCCTGCGGCCTCAGGCAGGGGGGAGCCCAAATAGGGCCCTAAGCCCTTCAGACCTTACCCCCCAGGTTGACATGTCTTTTAGCCGAAACAAGGCCCTCCCCCCACTATCCGTGTAGAAACTGCACTTCCGGATCCGATTCAAAGCTTTGAGCCTTCTTGTCAAACATGATCTCAATTCCTTTGGGCGCAAAGATAAACAATCAAGAATAGGCAAGGTATTGCTCGGGAGTGTTGTGAAAAATTAGTGGCCCCCTTTCTGTAGTCCTGGGGTTTCGAATCCCACTCCCACTGATTGCGGCGCTTCATTTGAACGAGGATAGAGAAGGGGAGGAAACACCTCATTTTCCAGAGCTATATTCATGGCTGCATCTCAAGGCACTAGTCACGCCACTACTGTACCGTCATGTTAACCCGCTAGTTCAGATTGAAGAAGTGGGCGAACGATGTCTTGGAACATGCAAGAACCAACTATTGGCCTCAGTAGATCGATTGGCACGGGAGGAAGCTTGCGACTTGGCAGAAAGAAGCTTCCTGCACAAAACAACTCCTTCTCAGAATTGGCACAGCTACAGGCCTTATTGCGGCCAGTTCTCTGTGGCTTAGTCAGCTTTCCAGTTGGAAAACCTAAGTCTGAAAAGGGAAGGAGGAAACCAACAGGCACTGAAGCACTTGTTCATGGAGACGCTGGGGTTAGTTGTTTCCTCAGAAAGAAACCACAAACCGAACCTTTTTTTCTCAGACAATGTTGGTTGACTTTCGCCGGCTTGGAGCACCCCCACATTCAATCACCAGCATCTGCTGTAGTCTTTTTTCTTGGGGGATGACACGCGGGGAGACCCATACGGATCGCCGCAACGTGAGAAGTGAATCGTTGGATTCAAGTCCAAAACCTGGACTTGGCATTTTCATTCTCGAGTAGGAATCCTTCACGCAGGCGTGCTTTTCAAGAAACCGCCCGCTGAGATTGACCGGATTGACACGGAGGCGGCACCTGGATTCGTTCGCCATCCATTGGCCATCTTCGTTCGCGATCTTTTAGAGATGCATGACCCCTAAATTTTGGGCACGCTACCCTCAATGATTTGAGGCTCCCGGACAAACTCGGACACAACGGGAAGATCGAGCAGTTCGC